AGGGGACGCCCTGCCAGGCCCCCCACGCCAGGGCTCCCCACACGGGCTGTCTGTGCTCAGTGGCCCGTTGGGAGCTGTGACGGCGCAAGGCCAGCAAGGCCCGGTCCAGGCGATCCCGTCCCCCTCCTCTGCCCTGTGCTCTGCGGCCCCGCCTGACGCCATCCCCGTCTGCCATCTGCAGACCATGTGGCCGTGGAGATCCAGCTCAGGTTCATGCACACCGATGTCTTCCTCACCTCCCACCAGTACCCCTTCTACGACTGCAGCGAGGCCATGAAACTGGAGAGGAATCTGCCGTGAGTGTCACCCCTGCGCTCCCCACCCCCCAGCTCCTCCAGCCCCGCCCCTGGCTCCACCCCCCTCCCCCTGCTGCGGTGCCACGACCCGCCAACCTCTCTCCCAGGTGCATCTCCTGTGCCAGCAACCGCTGGACCTGCCAGTGGGACATGCGCTACCATGAGTGTCGGGAGGCCTCGCCCAACCCTGAGGACAGCTTTGTGCCCGCTCACATGGTGAGGGGCCGTGGGCCCTGGTGGGGTGTGGCTGCTCGTCCCAGGCCACACACGTGGCCCTGACTGGCCTTACTCTGCAGGAGGACAGCTGCCCCCAGTTCCTGAACCCCAGCCCGCTGGTCATCCCCATGAACTACGAAACAGATGTGACCTTCCAGGGCGAGAACCTGGACACAGTGAAGGTGGGCTTGTGAGGCACTGGCCTGGGGAGCGGGCTGACCAGGCAGAGAGGCCTGTGCCCAGCGGCCCTGGTAGCTGGCGTGTCTGTGGGGCCGGCTCAGAGCCGTCCTGCTGACGGGAAGGGGCACCGGGCCTCCTCTCCTGCAGGCCTCTGGCTCAGGGCTCCCACCGGAGGTAGCTGCTCAGTGAACAGTGTTGGGGGCAGAAGGAGGCAGGCGGGTCTGTCGGGCAGGGAGGGGGCTGCCACCTAGCGAGGGTGCAGGGCGATTTGCTCAGGCTTGGGCCAGGGCTGGGGGTGCGGGGGTCCAGGAGTGCCGAGTGGTCGGCTGGAACAGGAGGACCTCCCCTGGCCCAGAAGGTGGGGGGCTCGGACAGAGCCTGGTCCCCG